GTGCATTCATTTGCACAAAGTGAAGTAAAAATGGCTGCTGTATTTTAGGGAATGCAGTAATATACATTCCTAGAGTTTAAAAACAACTCGACTTTTCCCTCAAAACGGTTTTCTTGGCTAATATTGGCACAACAGCAATAATGATGGGTGTGCGTTTGCTGGAATTCATCTGCTTGTGAACTGGTCGGCTTTTGTAATTAGCTCGGGTGAAGTGGACGCAATCACCACTGCTTGCACACTTCGCACCCAACCTTTCGCAGTGAAGAAAGTAAAAAAATAGGGACATTGCTCCACAGATTTCAAAAATTCGGACGAAGAGCTATTAAATGGTGACTTTAATGCCATTTTAAAGATTGGAAATTAGTGGTAGCTGAACAGATTTTTAGGGCAGAAAAGGATAAGACGTTAAAAGGGAAGGAATGGGTATTTTAAAGACCAATGGTGTCGAGCGTGTTGCATCTGCCCTCCGGTCACGTGATCGTGGAAGAGGGAATTGGTCCACTGGTGAGTGTGGTTATTCCGATCTACACTAACAATATATTTTCACTTATCTGTTTCAATGGTAGGGTATTTTGTCCCCGTTTTCAACTAGGCAAAGCGTTTTTTGCCTGCCATCCCTCTACTTCTCAGATTATGAACATGTAGCACTGCTGATTTTAATCTACGCAGTGCGATCGCGAGGACCATGGGGAAGCTAAGCTGTAAGCAAAGCCTTCCAAATAAATAAACTATAGGTCACCCAAACCACGATTAAAGTTTCGCATTTTAAAAGCTTACTGACACATCTAAAAGGCTTACCTGCGTGCATGCAATTTACGAGAATTGGTGGATGATGTGCGCCATCAGGTGCGGTCTGCCCAGCAGTATAAACAATTTACATTTGGAAAATGTGTCGGATGTTGAGACATATAAACTGACTTATCGATGGAGCAGCTTAGCAAACCAGTACTGCGAAAACAGCAGCCCGAAAGCGTAAGTCCCTTTTATCTCTTGTCACTTATGATACATCAAAAGAGGGTTAAAGAGCATTGCTTGCCATAGCTTTATGCTTAGCATAATCGAAGGAGTTGAAGTTCTTCAATAGCTTCAATCTGCCTCTACCTCCAGACACTAGCAACATTGTCCGAAAACCAAAATATGCAGTAGCTTAATAAATGTCAGTCTTTTCCTATCTCCTGGTGCACAAATTTTAGCAAAACTCCACCCATTCCATGTTAGCTCTCAACTCCCAACCCTGAACAATTCATTGAGTTCCTTTCGTTTCATGCAGTCCGTAGAAAAAGTATTCATACTTAGCCCACCCAAAAGGTCAAAAGTGCGTATTTTTAACGGAAAGCGCATTCCAAACACTGCGTCGCGATCGTATCAAACGATTAACCGCATGCATAGTGCAACACAGTCACGGCAGTCAGGAGTGGTTTTGAGATGAAGTCTGTAAATAAGTAATCAGGAGGCTCCAAAGGCCTTATTGAAGTCTATTAATACCCTCAAAATCGTAATTACTTTCTGTGCCATGGTCCGAGATTGATTATGATGCTCAAGTTAATTCGGCTGGCAAGGCGAAGTTAGACCTACTACGCCCTTAAGCAGAGGTCATTGGCCTTCTCATGCAATTTCCCATTTGGATTTTTTCAGTTTAAGCCAAGGATAATGGGATACGTCAACACCTTTTTCATCTTGTCGATGATCACAACTGCAACGGAGCTTATTGCAACGCAAAATGATGAGATACACTACAGAACGATTCGAAATCCAGACTGTGACAACAGTACAAGTTGTCCAAAAAATGAGACAAAGCTGATTCAGATTATCGCAAGGCACCCAAATCGAACAATACACTTCCTTTTACCTGGAAACAAACCCGACGCACCCCTCTCCATTATCATGCTGGAATGTGACACAAAACCGAACCAACTGCATGTGAATTGGACGCGTTTTCTCTCCAGAAATGGAAGTATTTCAAATTCTATTTCCCTTAATGGCACACAAACGTCGTATGGAATGATTATCAATGAGGTAACTTTCATTTATCCATCTCACCTCACTACGACTAATTACCAAAGCTGATTTGTGACAAACAAGCACGGCGCATCAAGCGTTTCGTTAGTGTAGACTAGCAATTTAGCTATTGTCACAACTCACTTGGAGAGAATCGAGGAAATATGCAAATCATGGACAAAGTAGTTTGCTAGTTTTCTCTCACGTTATCTCAATAGTACTGCCTTGATCTTCAAGCTTCACGCAATTGTGTCTTCTTGTGTTGCAAATCTTAGATCACGAACTCGCACTACTAGAGCTAGTGTGCCTTAAAGTAGTGGCCTTTATTTGGCAAAATGTCGCTTTTCCCGATACAACCGATTCTTCCTCATAC